TTTAATTTTGCCTGCAAATGTCATTTCTGCACTTCAGTTCTGCAAAGAAATAAAGTATTCAGCAACTATCATTTTTAAAAGAAAAATCAAAATACAAAGGAGCCTTTAACAATCTACCCCCAAATCAATCTTTTTACGAAATTCTGCTGTTTGTTCTATTATTACATCAAATTCCACCCAATTATGACAAAGGAAGCTATAGCATAGGATTAACTTCCTATTTTAATCAACAGGATATTACAATGTTCACAAGTTAAAGGAGGTGGGTGGGTTCTAAGTAAGTCTTTGTTGAACTGTTTTCCAAATCTGGACTCGTATCAAATCTAATAATAGTTCTTATGGCATATAAGCAGTTCCTATTTTCTGTTTTTATTCTACCAAACATTTCACTGTTTTTCACTGCTAGTGCCCTGCATATACTTCCTCTGATTCTATTATGTTCCTCTATTTTCCTTTATATATTTTATCATATGCTAATTTGTGAGGGTTTGCCCTACAAAGATAAAAATATTGTAAATAATATACATACAAGTTACATACACTATGCTTATAAAATCCTCATACTAATATAAACTGATTAAATAATGTAGAATTTCTGAACATTCTACACAATAAAAAACAGGACATTATCACTGCCTAAATAAATGCATGCATGTTGTCAGATCTGTCCATCTGTTCTTCTGTAGACTGTTTATTCAAAGGGAGGAAGAAAGGAAATAAAATGAAATAAGCAAACCGCTTCATGCCAAGTCTCCTATTTCTGAAGCAAGTTATCTCATGGCACATTCTCATGCACTTGTCCATGCATATTAGACAAATTCATCACTAGGCCTGTCCCCTTCCCAAATGTCAAGACGGCTAGCTGGAACCTTCAGGAGCAAAGCTCAGTTGAATAAGACAACACTTCCTTTAATATTTTTCACAGATATATCCTCCTAATTTTTTACTTGTATGATTGTCGGCTTAGTTCTTTAAACTCTTCAACGCTGAGAGTTTAGCAGCGGAGAAGCATGCAAAGCAACAGAAGGACAGGGATAGGAAACACTAAATATTTGCAAAGTAAAGCCAAGCACTGCCACACATCTGAACATATTCAGGATGGCAGCCAGATCAGTGGACAAATTTTGCACATGCTGTATAAAAGATGTAAGGAGACTGCTCATCCTCACAAATTTACCATCCTCTAGAGAGCACCTTGTGTATTGTGTCATGGCACAACGTATCAAAATTCTGCCAACAATTTAGGGCTTCTTCTCACACTTTTTTGTTTCACATCTAAAAGTTGCTTCAAACATAAAGGATGTGAACAGATGTTTGAACCACGTGGACATGGCACAAAGAACTGGGATTCGCTGCAATGTCCAGCGTGAGGGTACATTCCATGTCAAATCAGGAATCAACGAAACATAAGGCCCTTCAACAACGGGGCAACGGGGAGGTGGGTTTTCAAGGAGCCGCGGCGGGAGGAGGTGAAGATGGCGGGGCTTAACTCGGCCACGAAAAGCCCCGCCGGCACGCCAGAGCCGAAGACACAGCCTCTAAAGCCAGCGCTTAGAGGGGCAGACGCGAGCATGTCGGCGCTGGACAGCCGACGAAAAACGGAATCGGAAAAAAAGCGGCACCCGCGCACCTGACACACTGGCTCGAGTGACGCGCTGGATGATAGCCTTCATCACGCCGGGCTCAAAGGAATCCGGAGCGGCCGAGCACAACTTCCGGCCTAAACCGGAAGCAAAGCAACACTCCTTCTTTTCCCGCCCCATACTGAGCTATGGATGTACACCCGTTAGATGTGGTTTGCCCCCACACTTCTGAGTTCCCTGAAAACGTTTTTCCCCCTCCCGCACCCACTATTTCACCCAATGGAAATAAAAGCTTCTCGCAAAAAGTAATGTCTCCCGAGTCGAGTTTTCTCGGCAGCCAAAGGGAAATGCTGTAGTTAGCTGTCTGAGGTGCCTTTACGAATTTGCAATATATTCCCCAGCCTGGTGGTCATTCTACCACACAACTATTCCGGTCCAACCTTGCTTAGGATTTAGGGACCCGCCAAGGTCGCCTAATAGCTGCGATGGAAATCCACGACGTTTAACGCAGCAGCTGAGCGCGCCTCTTTTCCATTAAGCGGAACAACATGTAGCAAGAAAGACCGGAGCTCCAGTTTTTTTTAATTCCCGGCTTTCTGTTGCATCAATACTAGAACTGGCAGGGTAATTTTTAAAAGTTTGCACGAGTCACACAAATTGCACTTTCTCTTCCAAGTAATTCTCAGCTGAAGAAAGGCCCTCTTTCTTTCTGCAGCTCACCCGCCGGCATCAATTCCATCCGTACCGAAATGCTTGAAAACTCCGCTATCTCTAAGGGAAGATCTCGATTCTTTTTCGCCTGAAGCTTGTGGTTCACACAATGGTGTGAATTCTTCTGATTTCTGTAATGTTTCCAAAGGTTACTCTACACTAGGCCAGAATCAGAAGGAAATCAGCGAACTCTCCAGGGCGTGCGAGAAACAGCAGGGATCGCTCCGCGGAAACTAAGCTACGACTCCCCGAGAAGGACTGGCAGGGAAGAGCTGTTTTCTCGTCCCGCGCAGAGACGCCTGTCTTTAATAGCTGACGGCCCGCAGGAAAAAATGTGGAACAATCGCACCCATTCCTATCCTCTTCACCGCAAGAACAGTGATAGATAGAAAGATGAATAGCTATATAAGGGCACAAAATAATACAAGGACGTGGATATATAACTCCCACTTTCGGAGTATCGGAATCCGAAGAGCTTCTGCACTTCTTCATTAGAGGGCCATAAAATCGGGTATCACGGGACTCCTATTCCAAGTGAGAATGTAGAATTTCAGAATTCAGTTGCCTCTGGTCAGACCTTGAGACTTATTAACTCCATAAAAACTTGACAAATATTAATCCTTTTTTATTTGGGGATCCATTTCAATATTGGCCCAGAATGCAGCAATATATACATGGAAAATACTGAGTAATAGTGTTTCCATACTGTCACCCATAATTAAAGTTGGGGAATAATCATGGCTTAAGAATACCTGGTAAAACCAGGAATTAGATGAAATCCATTATTATTTGCTAATTATCCCATCGTTCTGTCTCCGCACCATTTAAGGCAGTTTATAATTCAAAATACTTTACAACAATGCTCTTAAAATCAGAAGTGTAATTAAAATCAACATCCTTAAAGTCAATTTTGTTTCCAATTAAAAGCTGAGTGGAAGAGACGGATTTTTGCCATTTCCTAAACACTCGGTGAACGGGGGCCCCAAACACACCTGTTTAGGGAGAGCCTTCCATACCCTGGAAGCCAGACAAGAGAGAGCCCTTTCATGGATGCCAGTGTGCGTGTCTTCAAAATGATCTACCTAAGTATCTAGGCAGAAGATGGAAGTCCTTGAGACCCTAAGCTGTTTAATGCTTTGAAGATCAACAACAGCCCGTTAAAGGATGCTCAGCAACCAACTGGAAGCCAGTAGAAACCTTTTATTACAGGCACCCTGTGATCCCCATATCTTGCATTGGTTAGAAGGGTAGCTACCACATTTTGTGCAGTTGCAATTTCCAGACCCTTTTTAAGGGCAGTCCTGCATAAAGTGGGTTATACCAGTGAAGATACAATATAACCAAAGTGTGGATAACTGTCATTAAACCCAGTCAGCTCAGAAAGGATTGCTGCTTGCCAATCTATCACCTCAAAGTTTAGTGATACCTGGAGATTAAGGAACACTCCCAAACCATGGACCTGCTACTTCTGGGACAGTCCATCCCATTCAGACAGGCTTTACCTGGGCTTCCTCCTTACCAGCAGCACCTTGGGCTTGTCTTGATTTAGTTTCAGCTTGTTATTCCTCATTTAGCCCATGACTGACCTTAACCGATCTTCCAAACTACAACTTCCTTGGAGTTACAAAGTAAGGAGGGTGTCTCCAGCACACTGATGGCAACCCACTCCAATGCTCCAAATGATCTCATCTAGTAGTTTCACGTAGATGTTAAATTGCAAAAGAAGGAAGATAAAACCCATGTGACATCATAGGCCAATGATCTGGATGTCAAACAATAATCCACACTAACACCATCTTCTGGGCATACCCAGCAAAAAAGGAACAGAACCAGTGCAAAGTATTGCTTGCACACCCACACCATATGGTCTCAGAGCATACCATTATCAGTGGCATTAAAAGCCAATGAAAAATCCAAGAGAATTAGGAGATCTCACATCTAATTTCTTGCATAGATTATCAAGGTAAAGTGGATGCAGGCAGCACTATATCCTGGGCAAAACTCTAATTGTAACTGGTCGAGATATTCAGTTTCATCCAGATATATCTGGAGCTACAAGATCACCACTTTTTCTTATCTCTTTATTCAAGTATGGAAGATTTGAAACAAAGTTCTTTTGGATCCAGGGAAGGCTTTTTCAATAAAGGTCAAATAGCTGTCTTCCTTGAGAATATAAAATATTCTTAATATATAAAGGTTATATAAACATATCTAATAAAACATAAACATACAAAATACTCCTTTACTCAAGAAAGCATTAATTGCTTTAAGAAACTGTGGACCAGTCCTAACCTGGCAGATTTATTATATTTGTAGGACTTTGTAGGATTATTTGTGTGACCTTAGGAAAAACAAGCTTCAATGTCTGTTTTGTTTTTTGCAAACCAGTAATAAGAGTTTTAAAAATCATGAACTGTAGTTAATATGACAGAAAAAACTGCTTTGAGGCCATTAGGCTCCACAGGGAAAGTTCAGTAAAGATAGCTCATGAACGATTTGATGTTGGAGATGCAGTTTGGGGGTTGAAGCTCATTCATGGTTTGGGCTTGTACTGCTGTATTTTGTACCATTTGTCTGCCACTGAACTAGTCTTTCCTCCACATGAAGAGTTGGAAGCAATATAGTTTTTTTGAAGTTGTCTTGTCTACAGGTTCCCAATCTTTTTGTCCTTTTTTTCCAATGTTGTAACATAATAGCTTTATACTGTTTTAAGATCATATTGTTTATTAATCATTATACAACACTGGAAAATCAATTTCACTTTTCCATTTTGCTTGTATCATTGTTTAAAACAAAACATTGTTTAAAACCAAAAATACACTAAATATCTTCAACTTGAGGTTGATCTACTGTAATTTCTAAAAATGCCAGCTTCCATCAAATAATCAAGTAAATGCTCACAGGTATAAAGTGGCAACACAGCTCATAAATATATCATGATTTGGCAGACCCTTTACAGATGTGTTTGCTTCAGCTTTTTCTTATGCTTAATTCTTTTCTATATCAGTCCTCACACCACTGCACAACTCTTCTGTTAGTAACAAGCAAAATGCATGGTGTATACACAGCATATTAAACCAGTTAATTTAAAGACAACCTTGGGCAAAATATTAAGACAGAGTACCTTAACTACACTTTGTACTCAGCATTGTTGATCTATACCTTGTGTTATTCAGACCCAGAGAAAACACAAAGCTACAGCATCTTTTTTAAAATTGTTCCACTACCTTACAGGTATGTGGAAAAATGAAATAGGTAGGGGTGAGGATGACAGGCTAAACTCATCTTACAGTAAGGAATATGCCACCATAGATTTTTAAAAAACAGTCCAAAATATATGCCTTTATAAACTCTTGTTTAAAAAAGTTAAATGTATTTCTTGTTGTGAAACCAGAAGTGTGTAGAAGCTAGACTGAATTGTATCTGGGAACCAGACCTGTAGGAACAAAAGTTGCTTCCACCGCACTCAGAAACTATCAAACACCTTTCCTCCAACTCCAACATCAGAGGTAAGTGCTAGAGAAGTTCTCTCTTCTTCAAAACAATTATTTTCTCTATGGGAAAAATGTTTATGGATGGATTCCCGAAGAGGAAATAAGGAATCAATCACATTTATCTTCTCTGTCATTTCAGGCACACGCTAGCAGAATTTCAGGAAAAGGTATTAAAAATAAACTATACATAAAAGAAAAATATAAAAAATTATATTCAATATATTCAAATCCATGATGGTAAAGTAGTATTACAGATTCATAATAGGCTGACAGAACATGGAACTTTCCAATTACTGTTAAAGCTGGATCTCATACAATTCTTTAATGAAAGTTATAGACACTGTAATACTCCTTTTTTCAACATAATTTACTTTTCTTTCCCAGCATTGTCATAAAAAAGCGACAGCACTTGATTATACAAACTAGAAGAATATGGCACAAAATCTGAAGAACTAGTTGTTGCTGTTAACATGAATCCAGTTTCTGTCTTGATCTTCTGCTCCTATGAAACACTTCTGGAATATTCCTAGTGGTTATCTAAATGGATAAAGATAAGTAAGAATTATAGGACATCAGATTATACAAGAGTAAATACATTCTATTTTTATAAGACAAATGAAGTTTCAAAGTCTTAACTTCATCTATATCACATTCTGCATCAAGGTAATTGTGCATTATCTTAATACAAAAAAGTCACATTATTCAGAATGTACAAAAATCAATTATTCAGTATATTTCTTGAAAATGCTTAATCTAAAATTACAGCATGCAAGTTTGCATATCAGCATATTTTGAGCCAATGAGATATAAACTAGAATTCGGAATTAGCGATTTTTATTTATTAAACATTTTTTCCAAGAAAAAATAAGAAATGTTGGGAAAAATTTAAATACATAATAAAATATATTAATTCCCTTAACACCCCTTACTCAAGTTGACTTTGGTATTCTTATGACAAAAAAATTGTCTTATGTATACCTTGGCTTACTTAAAATTATTGTGCTTAGCGAATTAAATGTAGACATATAATTCACTGAGATAATTAGGTTTACTAATTTGCCCCAATGCTTTTTAAATTTGTCAACACCAAAACTGTAAACTGCAGAGATTAAAAAACTTAACATCCTTAATAGTGTCAGTTTGAAAAATTGGTCAAAAATAATAGTTTTTTAGTCTTTTGGTCTAAAACAGAAGAAACTATCAACATAATAGAAAAATTGTGTGTCTGAGACTTCCACATATTTGCATTTTCAGGAAACAAGAAAAAAGAAGCAGTCTCCTTGCATAAGTTCTCTTCAGGCACTGTCTACTGTATTCAATCTCATTTTTTCAGCTATCACTATCAGCCCTTTCTGCTTCTGAGAAGAACTCATTAAGTTTTTTCAGACTGAGACAAATCTGATCACCTCGTCTTGTTGATCTATTATTCTAAAATAAATTTTCATTTTAGTTTTTACTCTTTCTGAAATGTTTCAATTTTCTGGAAAAAAGCAAAAGCCCTTAGGAAAATATACATTTCTCCTAATTTTTCCAGATTCGCTCTCCCCTTCCCCCATACCTTTATGTCTAAAGCTAACTCATAATAGCAGAGTTGACATATTTGTAACCGGCTTCACAAACTACAATACTTCCTTGTACATCATCATCCTTTGTACACTGTTCCTTGCCGTTTGACATTGTCTAAGGCCAGTTATTACGGCTTATTCAAATAACGCTAGTTAACACCAGTTATGGCTTAGCACACTATGTTGGAGGGCACTCAATGCTCCGAGAAAAACACTCTATTTCACTTCTGTTTTAAAAAAGAAGCTGCTTCCTAACAGAAGAAAAGGCTCACGTTGAGTGTAATCTTCCAAAATCTTCTCTGAATAGGAACGCCCATCGCCCTAAGCCACACGTAGGTGACTTCGCTTGGCCTTCGTGTGACATGAGTTTAACCACCGCAGTTTGGGAACCACAGACTAGTCTAGAACCCTGTTACTACCGCAACCTATTCAGTCCACCGTGTTTAAACAAACAGTGGCTTAGCCAAGGAGGGAACTCAACCCCAGAAGACCTTCCGAGGGGAGAAGCCGACGCGAGAAACTCGGCCTCCCCAGGGCCAAAGAGCTACACGGCGTTCAGGATATACCGAGTGGCGGCGGCGGCGGCGACTGCCCGCCCTTCTCCTCCTCCTTCGGTGGTATCTCCCTGAAACGCATCGACCGCATAGCGAAAAAGCCAATGATCGTCCATACTCCGAACGCGTACAGTAGAGAGAACCGACGCGACCACACAACGGCCTGCTGCGTCTTGAGGTACTCACTCTTCATCTCTGCGTCCAAACGGACGATTGCCCTTTTAGCGGGCGAGGGAAGGAGTCACCACGCCAACCCCGCTCGACGCAGAGAACTTGCTCCCCGCTTCACCCACTACCTACCCTTGCGGTTTGCTTTCTCCGCCTCTTGACGTCACATCCTCTCCTGTAGCCAATCGCGGCGTGCCCTGGGTCTCTCTTCCCTCCCTTAAGAAACGCGACTCGAATCGTTTCTCAATCTTGGCGACTTCAAGATATGTGGCCTTCAACTCCCAGCCAGAACTGCATGGCTTAAATATCAGCGTTTAAACCAGTGTTTCTCAACCTTGCTGAGTTTAAGGTGGGTGGACTTCAGCTCCCAGAATTCCCCAGCCAAGCCTTTGTTCATTCAGGTAGCATGCTAGCTGAGGAATTCTGGGAGTTGAAGTCCACACATCTTTAACTCAGCAAGGTTGAGAAAGGCTGGTTTAAACAGTGGATTAAAGCACCCTCAGTCATTTTCTGGCAATGATTGATTTCCATTCTGAAGTGTCTTCAAATCTTTTTAGTGTTCAGCAATGTGCTTTATCAACGTTCACATTCCATTATTTTTTGCAATCTCATTCTGCTTTTCATATCAGCTGCTGGAGAAGTCTACAATCCATTCCGTTCATCAGCAAGGCCATATATCAATGCACTCATTGGAACACACAATAAAAATACTAATTGAAGTTTAATCCTCTGGAAATGTGATCACCCTGTTAACTTTGGGAGTACTTTCTCAAGTTCTCCAAAGCCTTTGAACCAGACATTCTTGATAATCTAAATAACTGTGCCTAGGACAGCTAGTCCTGGAACCAACCGTAGAGAAGGCAACCTGAGATTTAATTGTAAATGGTGATAGGGGTCTGATACAAAGCACGAATACTATGGAATTAGAAGAAAACAGTGACATAATGCCATTAACATTTAGCATACCAGATTTATAATGGCAACAGGACCACCTTCAATCACACACCTGTTGACATTTTTAAAACCTCTGGAAGGTTGGGGAGATAGGACTTACCTTTGCAGAATCCATACTGCTTTTCTTATGGGCTTAATTGTTCTTTGATTACACTACCAAATTGCCCAGAGCAAATATTAGTGCTGATGGGTGCCGTCAGGACTTGGTGATTTGTTAATGTGTAGTTTTAAAATGTTCTGTTGTTACCTCAGTTTGTTCTAATTGTTCCAATTCTTTTCTGGAAAAAGTCAGTATAGGATCAGCACAAGAAAACAATAAACATAAAATCCTGTATCCAGATACACTTCCTCTAGCATAAAACAGGGACTCCACAAGCATCCTACCCCCAGGCCTAGGAGAACAGCCAAATTTTTAAAAATGTCTGAAACATCAGGGTGTGAACCAGAGAGCAGGTGCCATGAGAGAGAAGGCACTCTTCCTGGGTCCTGATGGATGGCATTGTTTGATCGAGGGAACCTGACACATACCAACTCTGCTCTGTCTTTCTGGGTAGGCAAAAACCATGGGAGATAGGCAGTCCCTCAAATAACCTGACCCTTTACCACGAAGGACTTTACAGGTAGTCCTCACTTAACAACTGCAATTGGGACCACCAACATTGCTAAGTGACCCGGTCGTTAAGGGAAATATGTAGCAGCACCCAACTTACGTCAGTTCCACTGGAGTCATTAAGCGAATTGCCCGTGGTTAAGCACCAGATCACACGACTTACAACTTCCTGCTGGCTTCCCCATTGACTCTGCTTGTCAGAAGCCAGCTGTGAAGATCGCAAATGGCAATCACATGACTGCAAGACACTGCGACTGTTGTAAATGCATGCCAGTTGCCAAGCACTCAAATTGTGATCATGTGACTGCAGGGACATTGCAACAGTGGTTAAGTTCAAGGACTGGTTGTAGATCTACTTTTTCGTCACCGTCGTTAAGTTTGAACAGCCGCTGAAGAAGGCAGTCATTAACCAAGGACTACCTGTACTTAATAACCAGTACCTTAAATTGCACCCAGAGCTGTCAACCAGTGCAGCTTGTGGAGCAGTGGTGTCACATGGGCATACCAGGACATGCCAAACATTCCCTGCTCCACTGCATTCTTGACCAGCTGTACCTTCCAAATAGTCTTCAAGGGCAGCCCATATAAAACACATTGCAATGTTTCAATCATTAGATAGTGTAGAGAGCCACAGAGATGGCCTTGTGGGAAATATTCAGATGCCATTACAAAAACAAAAAGTTGAAGTTTGATATTGATTAAAAAAACCAAATGTTCTTTCCTTTTGTCAGTTAACAGCTGAACTGACATAATCAGTGTCTCAAGAAAAGGCTTCTCTATTACTATCTTAAATATAGACCCACTCCTTTATATAACAAAGAGATGTTCCAGGTATCTTCATCTCCTTAGAATCTCCTTTCTTCCATGCTTTGTCTAGCCATTTCCATTGAAGGTAAAAGACTTTAGCTGCTATGAAGAGACACATCACACTATGCTATATTTGTCGGCATAAAGCTGTAATAGCTCGTTTATAGACAATAGTAAATTGTAACAACAGGGTTCAATTATAAAGACAAAAAGAAGCAACCCGCATTATTGCTTACCATGATAAATGAACCCAACTATTTTCAAAGGGAAACCCTAACCCTAATGTCAAATAGTATGTACACATAGTTTAAGGTTTATGTAGATGTAAACAGAAAAAAAGCTAAAATTAAGATTTGATTAGGCTAGGATTATTGAAAAATCTTAGCTACACAGCTACACTATGATGTCAAGCCAATTTGAACTGATAATTCTAGGAGTGGATTAACAGTAACAGGAGAGAGGCAGATGCTACAACCAGTCAGCATCCAATTTATATAAATATGATTGTATTCATTAACAAAATCTTGTCAGTTGTGTAAATGTTTTTTACCTTCCTCTCCTTCTTTCATAGTTGAAGGATGTAGTATATCTACTAAGGATAGAGTTTTATTATAGAATAGTATCCTGTGTGACTGCTGTTAGATTATTTTGCATGTTATTCTACTTTAATATTCAAATAAATTCCTATATTTATCATAAACCATTTATATTCATATTATTCTGTACAAATTACATGACTATTCATAGTCTGGCTATGTTAATTCATTGCATCTATACAAGCTAAAGAATTAGGAACGGTAACCTTCCTCCTCTCACCCTGCCCTGATCAGTGGTAGATAGCATTATACACTAAGTATTAACATTGTTCTCAAATTTTATTTTGCTTAGTTATAAGAGCAGAAAAATGAATTACATAGGACAGTATAAGTGTAGATTGTAATCCTGGTATAACAACATGAAAATTAAGAATTGCCAGAATAAAGACAAGAATATCAATAAGTTAAATCTAAAATATAAAATTTCCCTTTTTTATATGAGCTAATTAAAACTTTGATTCAAAAGAGGGAAAGGAATGTTATTGGTTTCTGGGCAGATTGTAATTTATCAGCAGCATGATTCAATAATATTATTGATTTTTGAGACTTTAGTATCAAAATTAGGATGCACTCGATACAGCCAGTTTTTTTAGATGGTCCATGAATACTTGTAGACTAACATCGTCTGTTAGGATTGGAGCACCAGATTCCTGGAATAAAAAGTTATAGTTTAGAAACAAAACTTGAGCCAACATAAAAAGTGGGAAAACTGGACAACTGCAGCATAATTAACATGGTGCATAACCATGTTGACTCCCATTATGCTTTTATTAATTTCCAAGTTTTAAAATTAACAGAATTAAATAGTTACACCATAGAATGAATGAATGAATGAATGAATGAATGAATGAATGAATGAATGAATGGCCCTGAAGGATACTCCAAATCTAGTTTATGGAGTTTTGGTCCATAAACCATATACTATATCTTCCCAGCTAACAAAGCCCAACCCCCCCGAGTGCTCCAAATCAACTCACAAACCCCTGCTTCTTAAGTAGTTTAAAGTCATAAATTGTGAGCTCGTGCACAACAGACACAGAAGCAAATACATCATTACTTACTTGTCCCCATCCATAGAGATTATTATGTGTCTGAGAAGGGTTCACTTTAGATAGGAGAAACCGTGCCTGTAAAAGCCAAAATAAGCAGTGTAGATGCAATATAATTAAGACTTGTCACATGAATTTGCCACATGACTTGTATGTTTCCTCTTAATACAACTCAGAATAGATTAAGTAGGCACATTTGGAAAGGAAAGAAAATAGAAGGAAGAAAGCAGATAGGGAATTCATATTTTGAAATAATAAGTTCTTGAAGAATAGTTTCTGCTCCTATTAGACAGAAACCATAACCAGTAGCTCCTTACAGGTAGTCCTCAGTTTATGACCACTTAGTCAGCGACCTTTCAAAGTTATGACGGCTCCCACTGCTTTATCACCCACACACCCACGGCACCCCTGCATCTCTGTGGTCCATAGTGCCTCCCCATGGCACCTGCCACCCACAGCTCTCACCCGCTGACCTGTTTGCCCAGAACACCTGCCACTTCCTACGTTGCAGTCACACAAGATCTTCGCTTAACGACCCAAATGGTCCTGAGGTTACGACAGCAACTGGGACTGCTGTCACTAAGCGATGAGGTCATGTGACATCATGCTTTACGACCACAACACTTAGCAATGGAAATTCCAGTCCCAATTGCCACTGTAACCCAAGGACTACCTGTATTCTGTCAACTCACAATAGGTGCCCCTCAATACTGAAAAAGTGGCCAAGTTTTGGTTGATTCAGAAAGGTAGGAGGGAAAAGCCCAGGATTTAAATTCTGGAGCACAGACCAATGTATACATCTGGCCACTACATACTGCGGTAGGCAGATAAGCTTCAGTGCCTTGCCTGCAATAAAGAAACTCATCCAGCCATGTCATTCTTTGAGCCTTCTGCCCAGTAAGCCAGTTCCTGAATAAAGGATTTTCAGTCAAGCCTAACACTAATAGTTCTTGCAAAATTAATCTAGATTTTTTAATATGAAAAAATGTTTAATCAAGCCTGAGAGACTGTTAGACAGTGGACCTGACATTTGCTGAGACCAAGATAGGAAGCAAACCAGAACACCATCTAGAGGTTTATGATTGGTAGCCCAAGAACATTTTAATATCTGCTGGTCCTTGCCAAACAGGACAATGCCAAGAACAAGTAAGGCCAAGGGTGCAGCTCTGGGGCTGCTTGCTATACTGCAACTTAGGGGCTGCTTGGTGCGCCATGGCTCTGGGGCTGCAGGAAGCCCCTCAGCCACTGCATGAAGTTATAACCACCTCTGGAAGTCTCAGCGGCCCCAACCCACCCCAGCAAGCATTAGTTCACCCAGCTGCCTTCTCTCCCAGTTCTCTGCACTGACCTTTCACCTTTTGCACCCAGCTGCCAAAGCAAAAGCACCTTGTTGCCTTCGCGGTCTCCTTTTTGGACCTGCAGCCGCCATGCTACCCTGGGTGAATGCTCCTAGGCGTGGCTCCCCACCCCAGCCGGGGAGCACAAATAAGGATGCCAATGAATGGGGAAGGCCAGAAGTGGTTTCCCACAATGGAAAAATGCGGGGGGTTGGCTTAGCTCCTCCAGCGTTTATCCATTGGGGAACCCCCGGCACTTTCCCATTGGGCAAAACCACTTCCAGCCTTTCCCACTGGCTGGCATTCTTATTTGCACC